TCACACAGGGCTGTGTCTGGGATGGAATGAGACCCCAGGCATGGAACCACAGCACAGAACCTGGGACGCCCCAGGAGCCCTGCAGAATTCTCTTTCTCTCTCTCTGTTGGGGGTTTTCATTCCATGTGGATCTTTTCCTTCCTCTTTGCTGCCTAGTGTTTAGGAGCCTCGATTGCCCCTCTGGGTGTGTCTCTCTTTTCGTTGAATGTTCTACCCCCTCATCCTATTATCATTGTTTGGGACTTTCCCTCTGGTGGAGGTCTCTACCTTGGGTGTGAGTCATTTCGTTCTGTTCTTCGTAGCTGGGGCAATGGCTCTCCCTGCCTTGTGTGTATGGTGGGTCCGATCGCTCATGTGCGTGCTGCTGTGCTGCGTAGAAGTTCCACCTCTCTTGGTGTCCCCCCCCAGTGGGTGGGAGCGCCACCTGCGGTGTCCATCCTGTGGGGGGCAGATACTCAAACTTGTACCCCTTCCTCTTCAGGGTTGGTGCATGGAGGCACTGAGGCTCATGGGCTCTATCTTGGGGAGCGTGTGTCTATCAGTTCCTGTCATCTTGACACCGACACTGGCGGCAAGGCTGTTTTTGGCTGTAGCAGCAACTAGGCTGGACCTCCCGCCCGCGCGCTCCCCCCTTACCCCCTGCCCGCCCCCAACGGCTGACTTCATGCTGGCACTTGGGAGGAAGGGGCTCTCTCTGTTCCCTAACGTCAGTGGGGGAAGGATGTTCCTCTGGACGCCACTCCTGCAGGGACACTCTGCCCTGGGCCAGGAGTCTGCTTCCTGGATCTGCCGGGGTCTTGTCCCCAGTCCACAGAGGGGCTGCACATCCTCTTTGCAGTTTTGAATTGACAGGACAGCCTCGATCTTCTCTCGCTGCTTCTGGTCTGCGTCAAGGTGTGTGTCCCTGCAGCCTTAGGTATAGAGTCTCTCAGCCTTGCGGATGGAGTAGACTGACTTCTCTCTGTCTTCCAAGCGGTCCTCTGCCTTAGAGGGTCTCCTCTCCAGTCCCTCCCATCACGAAGGCTACTGTGAGCTAGTGTCTGGTGGGCCTCGGGGTAGGGAGCTGGCAGACAGGGGTCCTGGGGCCCCAACACTCTCCGGTTCTCACCTCTCTGGACCTCGCCTTCCCCATCTATAAATACCAGACAGTGCTGTGTCACAGGGACTTTCGGCCGTGCCCGAAGTGTTCCCCATCTGCCCTGTCTAACGTGGTAGCCCGCATGTGGTTGTTGAGCCTCGTGTGGTCTTGAAATGTGACTTCTGCAAGCAATGAACTAAAATTTTGATTTAGTTTAATTATTATGTTTTATTAAAAATATGTTTTTAATGTTTATTATTTTGAGAGAGAGAGAGAACATGAGCAGGGGTGGGGCAGAGATAAAGGGGAGACACAGAACCTGAAGCAGGCTCCAGGCTCTGAGCTGTCAGAACAGAGCCAGATGAGGGGTTTGAACCCATGAACCATGGGATCATGACCTGACCTGGAGTCGGACAATTAACTGACGGAGCTGCCCAGGCACCCCAAATAATTTTTTAATGTTTATTTATTTATTTTTGAGGGAGAAAGAGTGTGGGGGAGGAGCAGAGAGAGGGAGGGAGAGAGAGAACTCCCAAGTGGTGAGCACAGTCTGATGCAGGGCTCGATGTCACAAATCGTGAGAGTTGGACACTTAACTGATGGGGCCACCCAGATGCCCCTTAATTTAAATTGATTTAAATATAATCTAAACTGGGGCACCTGGGTGCCTCAGTTAGTTAAGCATCCGACTTCAGCTCAGGTCATGATCTCATGGTTCGTGGTTTCGAGCCCTGCATTGGGCTCTGTGCTGACAGCTAGCTCAGGGCCTGGAGCCTGTCTTCGGATTCTGTGTCTCCCTCTCTCTCTGACCCTTCCCTGCTCATGCTCGCTCTCTCTCAAAAATAAATAAAACATTAAAAAAAATATATAATTTAAATTAATGCAGCTACCATGTCGACAGCATGGCTTTCAGAGGTCTTCCAGCTCCAAAGACTTACAAGTCTCCACTGAATGTGCAGAATTCCCCCAAGTTCCAAAAACCCTCCTTTGGGTAACCACAGGGCAGGGCAGGGCCGTCAGCACCCCGGGGAGGGGGGGGTGGGAAGCCTGGCGTTGCCTGACTTGTGTGGGAGAAGAAGGGACCATCTATCGAAGTTTGATGCGAGCTTCAGGGATGTGGGAGAGACCGAGCACTGGGACTCAGCCCCTTGCCACCGGGGCTCGGATCCCCCACTGGCACCCCCATGTCCGGCCACCTGAATGGCCCAGGGCAGGTGGGAGGGGAGTTACTCCTGGCTGCACCAGAAGGACAGCCTTGAGCCTGGTCAGCCAGCGAGGGGGTGGGGTGGGGGGGTGGCTGGAGGGGGCTGGGGGGGAGGGGCCCTGTGGGGGGCAGCCTGCAGCCCTGGGTCCAACAGCTCCTGTTCTCACTCGCCGGGCCATGGAGGCTTCACCTTCAAGATGGCTTTCTCTCCCCTCCTTATTAGGTGCCTGGGCTCAGGTGCGCTAGCCGGTCCCTCCCGAACCTCTCAGCTGTGCTTCTGGGGACACCTGGCCTGTCTCCGCTGGAGCCCGGGCCCCTCTGGCACCCAGGGGTCTGGCCAACGAAGCACTTTGTCTATCTGGTTTTAGGCGTGACCCTTTGCATGTCTGGAGCTGTTGCGGCCTCAGTGACTCATCGGGGAAGGAGGGAGGGTGGGGCTGAGCTGTGGGCGAGGGTGAGCTGGCTCGTGTCCCCCCACCCCACCCCCCTCCGCTGGCTGCTGGCTCAGGACCAGGATGCTGGGCAGAGAAAAGGGGCCCTGCTTGAGAAGGAAGAGCGGGGTGCTAAGGTGGTTAGTGGCTTCCGAGATCTGAGCCGCCCTTGGACTGGAAGCCTTTTCCATCCCTACCCTGCCTGGCTCCCGGTCTGCAGGGCTGGCTTCCTGGTGCAGGCCGCCGGGCCGAGGCACCTTTCAGTTGCAGCTTCGCTGTTTGTTGGGAAGGGTCCGCGTGACTTCCCTTGGCGGCTCCTCTTCCGGAGGGATGGTGATTCCCCAGCTCACCCCTGTGCCCACAGGCCACTCACCATCAAGTGGCCCTGCTGGCCTCCTAAGCCGCATCTGAGTCATAAATACCACCTGTATGAGTTCAGGGTGGGGAGGACAGGGGTCTATGTGGCTGTCTACCCCTCTCCCCCAGCCCCATGCTGTGATCTGCCTGACGCCACAACCGCTAAGTGCCCATGAGTTTCCGAGAGACACAATCCCATCCTTGGAGGCAAACTCTAACCCTTTCAAGAAAGCTGGCACAGGGGTGCCTGGGTGGCTCAGTCGGCGGGGCATCTGATTTTGGCTCGGGTCATGATCTCACGGTTCTTGAGTTTGAGCCCCGTGTCGGGTTCTGTGTTGCGAGCCTGGAGCCTGCTTCAGATTCTGTGTCTCCCTCTCTCTCTGCCCCTTCCCCACTTGCACTCTGTCTCTCTCCCTTTTCTTTCTCAAAAATAAACATTAAAAAAAAAAGCTGGCAAATAATAGGTTCTCTTTGCCCCTTTCTTTCCTTTTATATTTCAGCCCCCCCCCCCCCAGAAGGCTCATAACCTTCTGGAACATTCTGAGGCTAAATGGGTCACGCCCAGAGCACCTTGCTCATAATTTATATCCGGGACAGGAACTAAGTCTTTTCAATCTCCCCATCTGGCACACGGAGCGCATCCAGTAAGCATGGTGAGGACGCGTGAAGGAAGTTAGGTGACAACCTAATGCAGTGTGGAGTGTGGTGCGGGCTGTTGTTGTCTGTCCCTTGCTGGTTTTCTCTGCCGTGTCTGGTACAGTGTTGGACACGCAAGACGCTATCAGTATGCATGTATTTATCGATTGGTTGACTAATTTCTGAATGTAAACAGCTTCAGGGTGGGGCTTTGGGTGAGGCTCGGCGTGATTTTTAGCACTCCCCCCGCCATGGTTTCACAGACCATGTTTCTGGGCGACACTGCCACCACCAATCTGTGTGGGTGGCTGTGGGCCATGGCTATATCCCGCCTCGTGGCTTCCCAGGGCACCTCTGCAGCTGACAGCTCATCCTGTGTCCAGAGGGCATCTTTGCTCCTGAGTGCCTGCACCTATGAGGCCCGGCTCAGGGCCCAGTGTGGGCACACAGATGGGCCCTGACTCACCCTGTCCCCGAGGCAGCTCAGCTGTATTCCGGCCTCTCGGGCGGGGGCCGGCCCTGCGGGACTTGGGCCTTCTTTTTTGTCAGCTGCTGTGCCCGGAGCTCACAGCTGGTAAGGGTCCCCCTGGTCTTTGGGACTGGGTTAGATCGGGTGAGCCAGCATCACTGTGTGTCACCAGGGGAAGGAGGGCGCCACCGTTCCTGTCATCAGGGCTGCCACTCGTCCCCAGTGCTGGGGGATGGGAGTCTCACACCGGTGACCGCTGCAGACCTGATGCGCTGTAGGGGAGACAGCTGTGGACTCAGAGCCCTTGCAGAGTGGTGCTCTCACTGTGGACCCTGGGCGGACTGCCCCCGCCCTCCCCCATTCTCAGTCTCTCCATCTGTTAAATGGGGATGGTAACAGTCCCTCCTGGAGCTGTTATATAGAACCCACCGAGGAAGGTGTGTATCGTGAAGCTCGTGTGCACCAGAGCTTTTCGCACACACGCGCTCTCTCTCTCTCCTCCAGTCTTCTGGGAGATCCTGTACCATCTCCATTTTCACAGACGAGGAAATGGATGTTCAGAGAAGTGGAGTGACTTGGCCAGGGTCACACACACACAGCTGGGAAGACGCAGAGCCAGGGTTGATAGCTTGAGTCTCATCTCCCCCACAGCCCCCTTTCTGTGATCCTGGGCTGGAGAGTCATGTCTGAATGGAATGATGACAGTGGGGAAGGTTGAGGTTTTGCTCTGGCCCAGAGAGCAGAACAGTCCGCCATCTTTTTTGCGCTTGGGGTTCCGAGCAAGCCAGTTGTTGGGTACGAGCGTCTCTGTCTGCTTTTCCCTAGGCCGGGTGACCGAGATTCCCGACGAGAGAGACTGAGAAGACAGGAAGGAGGGGCGGGCTCCTGGCAAGGCATCCGCTCCTGAACTGAGTCCTGCAAAAGGTCCGTGGGAGGGAGGGTGCGATGGAGGGGAGGGGTGGGGGAGGGGAGGGGCCCTGTGTGGTATTGGGAGGCAGGGCCCTGGGTGGAAGGGATGAGAGGCCAGTTACACCCAGTGTGTACTTCCCATATCCTCTGTGGTGCCCTGGGGACATTTCCACAGTGGAGACGGGCCCCTCGGAGACACTGCTTCACTCCCTGGGAGCTCACAGCATCAGAGCTCCTTGGCTTTCTCATCTCCTCACGCCCTTGAGCCCCCATGGTCCTGAGCCCCATTCCCTTACCTCCCCGCAGATGGAGAAGGAGGAGGAGACGACCCGGGAGCTGCTGCTGCCCAACTGGCAGGGCAGCGGCTCCCACGGGCTCACCATCGCCCAGAGGGACGACGGCGTCTTTGTGCAGGAGGTGATGCAGAACTCCCCTGCGGCCCGCACTGGGGTGGTCAAGGAGGGTGAGTCACCCCAGGGTGCGGGCTGGGTGCTGGGGTGGGGTGGAGGAGGGTGGCGGGCGGAAGGGCACAATCCCGGGGGTGTCAGGATGGTCGGTGCCCGAGCCCTGCCCTCCCCTGGCCCCTCTGCGTCCGTCGGGGCAGGCCACGGTGGTGCAGGGTGGTGGTGACGTCGTCCCTAGGCCCCACTCCACTGCTCACGAGCTCTCCCGCTTTGGACAAATTAGTTGGCTTCAGTCAGCCTCAGTTTCTTCACCTGTGCAACGCGTACTACCACGCCTGCCTTAAGGGGTGCTCATGACCTGCGTCAAACAGAAGTCCGTTTGAGGGCCCAGCACGAGGTGGTTGAGTACTGTTTCCCTGAGACCCTGGAAAGGGGGGGGTCTTACCTGCTTCTTGCTTCTCCCTGCTCAGGGGACCAGATTGTGGGTGCCACCATCTACTTTGACAACCTGCAGTCGGGTGAGGTGACCCAGCTGTTGAACACCATGGGGCACCACACCGTGGGCCTGAAGCTTCACCGCAAGGGGGACCGCTCCCCCGAACCTGGCCAGACCTGGACCCACGAAGTCTTCAGCTCCCGAAGCTCCGAGGTGGTTCTGGTGAGTGCCTCGGTGGCCCTTCTGAGCCCTGAGCTCCCTCCCCCGGCCACGCCGACCTGCTGGCCACGTCCTGAGCCTTGTGTCCGCCTGCTGGACCTCTCCTGTGGTTCCTTCTCCTCCTTCCTCTCTTGTGCGTTCTCTGGTGAGCCAGCCTGTGTGTTCTTATTTGTGTGTGGCATGTGCCTGATGTCGCCCTGAAAGTCTTTGGTCAGCCTCTGCAGGGTGCCCCCAGCGTGGGAACCCACCCCTGCTGCCTGGTCCTAGATGCCAGGAGGAAGGTCAGCTGCTTTGCCGGAATCTTCAAAATAGTCTCACAGTTGCCCAGTTCTGCCTCACAGGCAGTGGTTTCCAACTTCCAGAGGCCCGGACTCACAGGCTGGGCAGCAAAGTGCCTGAGGGACGTTTCTTGGCTCCTTCTGCTGGCTTGTTTATCTAACACATAATGGGTCCTCAAAGTGACAGTGTTAATCCAAGCACAGTGAATCTCAACAAATGCCTTCTGCCTGGTCTCTGAGAGGATTCCCTTTTCTGATTAAATAAGCCAGTGAGTGGAGAGTCAAGAGCCTAAAGGGTCAAGTCCACACAGAGATGGTCACCCAGGAGGCATCCCAGGGACTTGACAGGCCGATCTGAGTCTAGAACGGATGGTAAATCCTTCCTCCACACAGTGCGGGAGTCTACCCCGCTCCTTTCCCCATGGCTTTTGCTTCCTGGAGTTTCCCCAAATAATTTGTTTTCCTTCTGTGAGGTGGCTGTCAGCCCCTTTCTTCCGCCCCCTTTGCTCTGCCCCTGGAGGCCCCGTGGGTCTCCGTTCGGTCCCAGCGTCTTTGGGAAACAGGCAGCCATGTTGTCGGCTGGGCTGTGGCCGGGTGTCTGTAACTCAGGCAGACCCTGCTTCAACCTCTGCTGGGCGTGTCTTTCTGCAGAGCGGGGATGATGAGGAGTACCAGCGCATCTACACCACCAAGATCAAGCCTCGGCTGAAGTCGGAAGATGGAGTAGAAGGGGATCCTGGGGAGACCCAGAGCCGCACCATCACAGTGACTAGAAGGGTCACGGCCTACACTGTTGATGTGACAGGCCGTGAAGGCGCCAAGGACATCGATATCAGCAGCCCTGAGTTCAAGATCAAGATTCCACGGCATGAACTGACTGAAATCTCCACTGTAGACGTGGACACCCACCCTGGCAAGACAGTGATCAGACTGCCCTCGGGCTCGGGGGCAGCAGCTCCGACCGGAGGCTCTGTTGTGGACATCCACACAGGGTCCATTTCCGCTTCGGTCCCAGAGCTCCAAGGTGCTGGCCACTCGAAGCTCCAGGTCTCCATGCCTGGGATAAAGGTGGGAAGCCCAGGCGTCAGTGTCAGTGCAAAGGGCTTGGACTTGGGGGGCAAAGGAGGGGTCCAAGTTCCAGGAGTGGACGTTTCGTCTTCTCTTGGGGGTGGGGCAGTAGAGGTGCAGGACCCATCTCTTGAGAGTGGCAGGAACGGGAAGATTAAAATTCCCACGATGAAAGTGCCAAAATTTGGTGTCTCAACAGGGCCCGCGGGCCAGGCGCCAGTGGCAGGGTTGAATGTTTCTGCCCCTGAATTCTCTGTGGCACCCAAGGGCGGCAAGCCAGGCCTGACCGTTGGTGGGAACATCCAGACCCCTCAGCTAGAAGTCTGTGCTCCTTCTGTCACTGTTGAGGGGCCTGAGGGGAAGCTGAAAGGCCCCCAAATCACTGGGCCATCACTTGAGGCTGGTCTAGGCCTGAAAGGTGCCAAGCCACAGGGGAGCATAGGGGTGGATGTCTCTGCGCCCAAGATCGAGGGCACCATCACTGGCTCCAGTGTGGAAGTTCAAGCCCCTGACGTTGATATCCACGGGCCTGAGGGCAAATTGAATATGCCCAAGATGAAAGTTCCCAAATTCTCTGTATCAGGTTCTAAGGGAGAGGGAGCTGGCATTGATGTGACACTGCCCACAGGTGAAGTGACTCTTCCTGGGGTCTCTGGGAACGTCAGTCTGCCTGAAGGTGCTGCTGGGGGGCTGGAAGGGAAGTTGAAGGGTACGAAAGTCAAGACGCCTGAAATGATTATTCAGAAACCTAAAATCTCTATGCAAGATGTGGATCTGAGCCTTGGGTCTCCTAAACTGAAAGGAGATATTAAGGTTTCTGCGCCTGGGGGGCACGGTGATGTTAAAGGCCCTCAAGTGGCAGTGAAAGGTGCCAAAGTGGACTTAGAGACACCTAGCCTTGAGGGGACTTTGACAGGACCCAAGCTTAGTAGTCCTTCTGGGAAAACAGGCACCTATAGGATCGCTATGGCAGATGTAGACTTAAATGTGGCTGCCCCTAAAGTGAAAGGGGGTGTGGATGTTGTACTCCCAAAAGCAGAAGGGAAAGTCAAAGTCCCTCAAGTTGACATCAAAGGACCCAAGGTGGATGTCAGTGCCCCAGATGTGGAAGTTCATGGCCCAGAATGGAACCTGAAAATGCCCAAGTTCAGCACTCCAGGAGTTGGAGGAGAAGGCCCAGATGTAGACGTGAAACTACCCAAAGGAGATGTCAGTATTTCAGGGCCCAAGGTCAGCATGGAGGCCCCGAATGTCAACGTAGGAGGCCTGGGAGGCAAAATTAAAGGCCCTGATATCAAGCTGCCCGAAGTGAGTGTCAAGACACCAAAGATCTCCATGCCCGATCTAGATTTACATGTTAAAGGCCCAAAGGTAAAAGGAGAATATGATGTAACAGCCCCAAAACTTGAAGGAGAACTGAAAGGCCCCAAAATGGACATTGATGCCCCAGATGTGGATGTTCATGGCCCAGACTGGCATCTGAAGATGCCCAAGATGAAAATGCCCAAGTTCAGTGTTCCAGGGCTCAAAGCAGAGGGCCCAGAAATGGATGTGAATCTTCCCAAGGCTGATGTGGACATTTCTGGGCACAAGGTAGATGTTAGTGTTCCAGATGTGAGCATTGAGGGACCAGAAGGGAAATTGAAAGGACCTAAGTTCAAGATGCCTGAGATGAATATCAAAGCCCCAAAGATCTCCATGCCAGATGTGGACTTACACTTGAAAGGCCCTAAGGTAAAAGGGGAATACGATGTCACAGTGCCAAAAGTTGAAGGTGAGATTAAAGTTCCTGATGTTGAACTTAAAAGTGCCAAAGTGGATATTGATGCTCCAGATGTTGATGTTCACGGCCCAGATTGGCACCTGAAGATGCCCAAAATGAAAATGCCCAAGTTCAGCATGCCTGGATTCAAAGCAGAGGGCCCAGAAGTGGATGTGAACGTGCCCAAGGCTGACATTGACATCTCAGGACCCACAGTGGATGTTGAAGTTCCGGATGTGAATATTGAAGGACCTGAAGGAAAGCTGAAGGGTCCCAAGTTTAAGATGCCTGAAATGAATATCAAGGCCCCAAAGATCTCTATGCCTGATGTGGATTTGCATATGAAAGGTCCCAAGGTAAAAGGAGACTATGATGTTACAGTGCCAAAGCTGGAAGGGGAACTCAAAGGGCCAAAAGTAGACATCAGTGCCCCCGATGTTGAAGTTCAGAGTCCTGAATGGAACCTAAAGATGCCCAAGATGAAAATGCCCAAATTTACCATGCCCAGCCTCAAAGGGGAGGGCCCAGAAGTGGATGTGAACCTGCCGAAGGCTGATGTGGACATTTCTGCACCCAAGATAGATCTTAGTGCTCCAGATTTGAGCCTTGAAGGACCAGAAGGAAAGCTGAAAGGTCCCAAGTTTAAGATGCCTGAGATGCACTTCAAAGCTCCTAAGATGACTCTGCCTGACGTCGACTTGGATCTTAAAGGACCTAAAATGAAAGGAAATCTAGATGTGTCTGCACCAAAAATAGAAGGTGAAATGAAAGTTCCAGATGTGGACATCAAAGGACCTAAGGTAGACATTAAAGCACCAGATGTGGAAGTCCAAGCTGCAGACTGGAGCCTGAAAATGCCCAAGATGAAAATGCCCAAGTTCAGCATCCCCAGCCTCAAAGGGGAGGGCCCAGAAGTGGATGTGAACCTGCCCAAAGCTGACATTGACATCTCTGGACCCAGGGTTGACATCGAAGCCCCGGATGTGAGCCTTGAAGGTCCAGAAGGGAAGCTGAAGGGCCCCAAATTTAAGATGCCTGAGATGCACTTCAAGGCTCCCAAGATCTCCATGCCTGATGTGGACTTACACTTGAAAGGTCCCAAAGTGAAAGGGGATGTGGATGTGTCTGTGCCCAAGATAGAAGGTGAGATGAAAGTGCCAGATGTGGATATCAAAGGCCCCAAAGTGGACGTTGATGTCCCAGATGTGGACGTTCATGGCCCAGAGTGGAACTTGAAAATGCCCAAGATGAAAATGCCCAAATTTAGCGTGCCTGGCTTCAAGGGTGAGGGCCCAGAAGTGGACATGAACCTGCCCAAGGCTGACATTGACATATCTGGACCCAAGGTGGACATTGAAGCCCCTGATGTGAGCCTTGAGGGGCCAGAAGGGAAGCTGAAGGGCCCCAAGTTTAAGATGCCCGAGATGCACTTCAAGGCTCCCAAGATCTCCATGCCTGATGTGAACTTGAATCTTAAGGGGCCAAAACTAAAGGGAGATGTGGATGTGTCTGTGCCTGATGTAGAAGGTGAAATAAAAGTGCCAGATGTTGACATTAAAGGGCCCAAAGTTGACATCAGTGCTCCAGATGTGGATGTGCACAGCCCAGACTGGCACCTGAAGATGCCCAAGATAAAAATGCCCAAGATCAGCATGCCTGGCTTCAAAGGAGATGGCCCAGAAGTGGATGTGAACCTGCCCAAGGCTGACATTGATGTCTCAGGACCCAAGGTGGATGTTGAAGTTCCAGATGTGAATATTGAAGGTCCAGATGCAAAAGTAAAAGGTCTTAAATTTAAGATGCCAGAAATGAATATAAAGTCTCAGAAGATATCCATGCCAGATGTTGGTTTGCATTTGAAAGGTCCGAAAATGAAAGGAGATTATGATGTTCCAAAGGTAGAAGGAGAGATAAAAGCTCCTGATGTTGACATCAAAGGGCCCAAAGTGGACATTAATGCACCAGAGGTGGGAGTTCATGGCCCAGATTGGCATCTAAAGATGCCCAAAGTGAAAATGCCCAAGTTCAGCATGCCAGGCTTCAAAGGAGAGGGCCCAGAAGTGGATGTGAACCTGCCCAAGGCTGACATTGAGGTCTCAGGACCCAAGGTGGACATTGATGCTCCAGATGTCAATATTGAAGGTCCAGAGGGGAAACTAAAGGGTCCAAAGTTCAAGATGCCAAGCATGAATATACAGACACACAAGATCTCTATGCCTGATGTTGGACTTAATCTGAAAGCCCCTAAGCTGAAAACTGATGTAGATGTTTCCCTTCCCAAAGTGGAAGGAGACTTGAAAGGTCCTGAAATTGACATGAAGGCCCCAAAGATGGATGTGGATGTTGGTGATATTGATATTGAAGGTCCAGAAGGGAAGCTGAAGGGCCCCAAATTTAAGATGCCTGAGATGCACTTCAAGGCTCCCAAGATCTCCATGCCTGATGTGGACTTACACTTGAAAGGCCCCAAGGTCAAAGGGGATGTGGATGTGACTGTGCCCAAGATAGAAGGTGAGATGAAAGTGCCAGATGTGGACATCAAAGGCCCCAAAGTGGACGTTGATGTCCCAGATGTGGATGTTCATGGCCCAGACTGGCACCTGAAGATGCCCAAGGTGAAAATGCCCAAGTTCACCATGCCTGGCTTCAAGGGTGAGGGTCCAGAAGTGGACTTGAACCTGCCCAAGGCTGACGTTAATGTGTCTGGCCCCAAAGTGGACATTGATGCTCCTGATTTGGATATTGAGGGACCAGAAGGAAAATTAAAGGGCTCTAAATTTAAGATGCCTAAGTTGAATATCAAAGCTCCTAAGATATCCATGCCAGATGTGGACTTGAATTTGAAGGGATCCAAAGTGAAAGGAGAAATCGATGCTTCAGTGCCTGAACTAGAAGGTGATCTCAGAGGCCCACAAGTTGATATCAAAGGTCCTGGTGTGGATGTGGAGATGCCTGATGTTGATCTGGAATGTCCTGATGCAAAATTGAAAGGTCCTAAATTTAAGATGCCTGAGATGCACTTCAAGGCTCCCAAGATCTCCATGCCTGATGTGGACTTACACTTGAAAGGTCCCAAAGTGAAAGGGGATGTGGACGTGTCTGTGCCCAAGATAGAAGGTGAGATGAAAGTGCCAGATGTGGATATCAAAGGCCCCAAAGTGGACATTGATGTCCCAGATGTGGACGTTCATGGCCCAGAGTGGAACTTGAAAATGCCCAAGATGAAAATGCCCAAATTTAGCGTGCCTGGCTTCAAGGGTGAGGGCCCAGAAGTGGACATGAACCTGCCCAAGGCTGACATTGACATATCTGGACCCAAGGTGGACATTGAAGCCCCTGATGTGAGCCTTGAGGGGCCAGAAGGGAAGCTGAAGGGCCCCAAGTTTAAGATGCCCGAGATGCACTTCAAGGCTCCCAAGATCTCCATGCCTGATGTGAACTTGAATCTTAAGGGGCCAAAACTAAAGGGTGATGTGGATGTATCTATGCCAAAATTGGAAGGAGACTTGAAAGGCCCCAGTGTGGATGTGGAGATGCCTGATGTTGATCTGGAATGTCCTGATGCAAAGTTGAAAGGCCCTAAGTTTAAGATGCCAGACATGCACTTCAAGACCCCCAAGATCTCCATGCCTGATGTGGACTTACACTTGAAAGGCCCCAAAGTCAAAGGGGATATGGATGTGTCTGTGCCCAAGATAGAAGGTGAGATGAAAGTGCCAGATGTGGATATCAAAGCCCCCAAAGTTGACATTGATGCCCCAGAAGTAGATGTTCATGGCCCAGAGTGGCACTTGAAGATGCCCAAGATGAAAATGCCCAAGTTCAGTATGCCTGGCTTCAAAGGCGAGGGCCCAGAAGTGGATGTGAACCTGCCTAAGGCTGACGTTGACATCTCGGGACCTAAGGTGGACATTGAAGCCCCAGATGTGAACATTGAGGGTCCAGAAGGCAGACTGAAAGGCCCTAAGTTCAAGATGCCTGAAATGCACTTTCACGCCCCGAAGATTTCCATGCCTGATGTTGATTTCAACTTAAAAGGGCCTAAAATGAAAGGAGACTTTGACGTTTCTGCCCCAAAGCTGGAGGGAGAGTTAAAGGGTCCAGAATTGGATGTCAAAGGCCCCAAATTGGATGCTGACATGCCAGATGTAGCTGTGGAAGGTCCAGATGGAAAATGGAAAAGTCCTAAATTTAAGATGCCAGACATGCACTTTAAAGCTCCCAAAATCTCCATGCCAGACATTGATTTGCACTTAAAAAGTCCCAAGATAAAAGGAGAGGTGGATGTTGATGTTCCTAAATTGGAAGGTGACCTCAAAGGGCCAGATCTCAAAGGTGACATCAGTGGGCCAGATATTGACATTGAAGGACCAGAGGGCAAATTGAAAGGTCCCAAGTTCAAGATGCCTGACATGCATTTCAAAGCCCCAAATATATCTATGCCTGATGTGGACCTAAATTTGAAAGGACCCAAAACGAAGGGGGATGTTGATGTGTCTGTGCCTGAAGTAGAAGGTAAAATTAAAGTACCAGATGTGAACATCAAGGGCCCCAAAGTAGACATAGATGCTCCTGATATTCATGGCCCAGACTGGCACCTGAAGATGCCCAAAATGAAAATGCCAAAGTTCAGCATGCCTGGTTTCAAAGCAGAGGGCCCAGAAGTAGATGTGAATCTTCCTAAGGCTGACATTGATGTCTCAGGACCCAAGGTTGACATTGAAGTCCCAGATATGAGCATTGAGAGTCCGGAGGGAAAGATCAAGGGGCCTAAATTTAAAATGCCAGAAATGAACATCAAAGCTCCCAAGATCTCCATGCCAGATGTAGATTTACACTTGAAAGGTCCTAAGGTCAAAGGAGATGTGGACATTTCCCTACCTAAGGTGGAAGGTGACCTGAAGGGCCCCAAAATGGACATTGATGCCCCAGATGTGGATGTGCATGGCCCAGACTGGCACCTGAAGATGCCCAAG